AAGCAAGAGACAGGGTTTATGTATCTGGTTGTAGAACAGGTGGAATTAGGAATAGTGAACTATTACATGAAAAATGTTGACAATGGAGTACGCCACAAATGATGGGTAAGATTCTATCAGGAGGAGATGGGGTGAGAGCATTTATAAGTGAAAGGAAACACACAGGGGAGAGAAAAATTGGCAACCTTGTTCCTAGATGAGTGGGAGAGTTATGTCTCCTTGTGAAAACTCAGGAGCTCCTTGAGCAGTTCCTATCCTTGCATGAGCTATGACACATTCTAGGTCCTTTCCCTACTTGAAAATAATTACCAGCAGTGTCACTTCATTCTCATCAGCCTCCCTCTAGCTACTTTGCTATTAACAACAACCAAAAAAAGGGCATCTAGAAAAACTCCTGTATTTCTACAGAAAAAGCTACTCCATAAAGATGTGAAGTAATTAATGATGCAATGCTGTGACCTCCAGTATAAATTTCATTCTTGTTTCCTTGTTCCAGGACAAGTGGTAGTTAAATACTTCCCAGCAGTGTGAGGTGAGTTATAGGAAATTCAAACATAATTTCACTCCAGGGAAACCTGTTTGGCTCTGTTGGCCCTTTTTTCAACATTTATATCCCTGGCCTTCAGATGTATCAGGCCACCCATTTTCAGGACCACCAATTACTTTTCTGGGAAAAGAGATACTTTGACAAATTCTATAATCACACCAAAGATGGTACTTAAGAAAAAAGTGTGTAAAATAACTTTTGTGGTTTAAACAGCCATTTTTCATAAACTATGCTTCTAAAACTTGAATGAACTACATCCAGTAATAAGGAATTGCATAAATAGGCATATTTTATGTTTTTATATCTTTATAAGTACATTGGCTAGTGAGAGGAGTAAAACTGAACTCAGTAGGGAAGTTTTGGAGAGAAACAAAAAGGGGAGAATTTGTACCTCATAGCGAATATTATTTACCTTACTTAGGGAAAGATCTAGTTTTTATGCAAAAATAACTTTTAGGCAACAGCCCAATGAAGTTAGAAATTTGAAGGAAGCTCATGTAACTCTCTTAACTGTTGTCCTGTTCACAATTTTAAGTATTATTTATTACCAAACCAATCTTTATCATAGCCTTATATTTAGAACTCCTGTGAGCTCAAAATCCTGTCTTTTTTTTCACTGAGGGTCTGACAAAGATATTCTCGTTACAACAGATGTCACTGCAACACTTTCTATATCATGAAGAGATTTCATATGCTAGTCTTAAAATGGCATCATCTATATGACAAAACAACTGGGATAGTGCCCTGTACATGATCTTAATGAGCTTTGACTTTACTCCACTCTGTCTGCTAAGTGTGCTCTTAAAGTCCATGCAAACGCATTTAAAAAAGCAGATCGCATTTCAAAACACACTTGAGAAATGCTTTCTTCAAGGGCTATGAGCAGCCGAGTAAGGACTTGCCCACTGTGGCCAGGTACCACACTGGCTGCTCGGTGCCCTGACACTTCACGTGTAGCTCCTGTCTGCTTCTCTGTGGCCCTAGTTCCTTGAAGAGAGAACAGCATTTGAAAAAACACAAGGAGAAACTGGAGACTATCAACTTTACACAGAGATAGGCAAAAGTTGGAACTAGTCATTGTTGCAATCAATCTGTGTTTTTAAATCTGAGAATTCAGTGTGTCAGCAAAGGATGATCTACAGGGAAATAGTAAAACTCTTAGAAAATCGGTCTCTGAGAAAGAAGTCTGGTGAAAATTGTGCTTAAGTTGGATGTGGCAGAGACAGCTGGTTGTCCCCTGTATTCACACTTCCCTTCGTCCTTAGAAATAGAACACCCCGTTTTCAGTTGGGCACATGGCCCCTTGGCACAAAGTCTTTCTCAGTCTCCCTTGCAACTAGATGTCCCACATGACTAAGTTCTATCTGATGGGCTATAAGTGGGACGGTCACATAAAATGATGGGAAATGTCCTTAAAGGGTATGGACATATATCCTGAGTACTGACATATGCATCCTTATGTTCACTGCAGTATTATTTACAATACCCAAAATGTGGAAGCAACCTAAGTGTCCATCGTAGACAAAGGAATAAAGAAGATGTGGTATATGGTAGAATATTACTTGGGCCATTAAAAAGAATGAAATCTTGCCCTTTGGGACAACATGGATGGACCTAGCGGCTATTGTGCTAAGTGAAAAAAGTCAGACAGAGAAAGACAAATACCATACATTTCACTTACATGTGGAATTTAAAGACCAAAATAAACGACCAAAGAAAACAGAAACAATCTCGTAGATCCAGAGAACAAAGTGACAGTTGCCAGATGGGAGGGGGAGTTGAGGGGTTGGGTGAAAAAGATGAAGAGATTAAGAAATACGATTGGAAGTTACAAAATAGTCATGGGCATATAAAGTACAGCAAAAGGTGTACAGTCAGTGATATTGTAATAGCTTAGTATGGTGGCAAGTAAGTGCTTAGAGGTATCAAGTGGATCACTTTGTAAGTTACATAAATGTCTAACCACTATGGTGTACACCTGAAACTAATATAATATTGAATGTCATCTGTAATTGAAAAAAATTTAAAAAAAGAAAGAAAAATATCTACAAATTTTGAATAAAAAAGATTACTACCTAAGGTTTCTAAGCTGAATCTCCTCCTCATGTGTGAAAACAATAAATAACCTCATATATTCCACGGCTCAGAAAATAGAAAATTCATGTACTCTTTTTGAAAACATTATTTGAATATATATGTCAGACATTTGAAAGATCTGAAAGTAGACCAGGGTATAGTTCATGGCATAGTTCATGGCATTATATGAATGTTATAAATCAAGGAAAAATAACTAGGGAAAACAGGCCATTTTGAATAGTACTTCCAAGACTCCCATCAGCCCCATTCTCAATACATTGGAAAGCGGCTAAGCAGTTATACAAGGCCAGCACTTATAGTTCCAAGGGCTATTTGTATCTAATCTCATTTAAACCTCTATAACTCTATAAGAAAAGAATTATTACCCCCATATTAGACATGGGAAAGTAAACCTCAGAAGTGCTTGCCCAAGATACCATGCCTAGTGGATAGCAGCCAGAAAGTCAGGTTTCAGAGTCTAGTTTAACCTCAAGTCATTCTGCCTCTCATTTGACTACAAAGATATATTGGCCATTAGCTGCCTGAGATTCTGTTCTTAACTTTAAATGTCTAAGGAAATAACATTTTTCACATCTAAAGTTATTGACTTTAAAGGAAGTTCCCAGAAAATTGATTCAATTACTAGAAGAGTTTTTGAGCTGGATTCCTCTGTGTTATGCTTACAGGTTCTTCCCTCCCTCCCTCTCTCTCTCAAATCCATGCATTACTTGTATTTAAATTCCATTTCCTTCTTTATTTCCTTGTGAAAATGTTATGCAAATAATGCCAGGTTACAAGAAATAAAAGGCTTTATTCTCGTACTGGGCTGGGCTAAACGCATTCTGAGGATTGTTTACCAAGACCAACTGATAAATTATACAGATGTATGAAAATGGACAAGGATGGCCTGAAATAGACCTATGCCTGGGCACAGCTGGCTGGACGGTCTATTTTATTTTATTTTTTAAATTTTAAGTTTTTTTTTTTTTAAATATATCTTTATTGATTTCAGAGAGGGGAAGAGAGAGGGAGAGAGAGAGATAGAAACATCAATGATGAGAGAGTCACTGATGGAGCCTGCAACCCAGGCATGTGCCCTGACTGGGAATCAAACCCCGATCGCCTGGATCCTAGGTCGATGCTCAACGGCTGAGCCACGCCGGCCAGGCTGGACGGTCTATTTTAGAAGAAAAACCTGAGAATCACATTGCTTCACAAGTGCGACTCATGCATTATTAGTAATATTTCAGGGCGAGGCACTTAAAATATACCCTGAGTACCGCCCCAGGAAATGATCTTGTCTTCCTCATGCTTTCAAGTATTTTCACTTATGTGTACATATTTATGACTACATTGAACACGTATCTACATTGGGGCTCTACAAGTATAGCACGTGAGAACAAATTCTGAATCAGGCCTGGATGACACATCGCCGTCTCCACCGTTTCCTTGGGCAAGCGACCGAAGCTTTCGAAACCAGTTTTGTCGCTTGAAAAACGGAGATGCTCCCTCTCTCAAGGGTCCTAATATATGGTGAGGGGAGAAGATAGGACTTTGGGGGGTGGGCGCGCAGAGCAATACCCAGGCCTTGTAACACAGGAACCCACCCCTGAAACCTGTATGTTCGCATGAACCATTGCCACCCCAATACATTTAATTTAAAAAGGGTACTAGTAAGAATTACACTCGTTGATGCACAAGGTGTCAGGCACGTTGCATGTCACACGGTAAGGCTCATTCAATGGCAGCTATCATTTCTGTGGAGACTGTTGGGCATCAGAAATATTTGTTGAATGACTGTCTCTTCGACAACCGCTTCCCTGCCACCTGGGCTCAGCGCGCACTGCCACCCGGTCGCCCCGCAATGGATCAAATAAGGCGACGTAAAAGCCCCAGGCGTTATCTCCTCCTCAGGACCCGGACTTTTGAACTGGAAAGCTCAAGGTTAAGGCGTGACCGCTGCCCTTCGACCCGCAGTCCCGCAACAGCCTCCTGCTGCGGTGAGCGGCGCACCTGCCCGCGCGCAGCTGGTCGGATTCGCGCCGAGCGCCCCCCGCGCT